CCCTGGATGAAGGAAGCGCCCTTTGGGGGAAGGGGGAGAGGCTGGGGGGGGAGGGGCGGGGGGGGGGGGTGCCCTCCCCCCCCCCCCCCCCCCCCCCCCCCCCCCCCCCCACTAGTCTCCCCCCTCCCCATACTGTCCCTAGAGGGATTAGATTACAACCCCTCCCCCCCAAATAAAAGAGACCAGGGGTGACCAATTGCCACCCTTCAACAACAGGTGGACTCCAACTCCCAGAATCCCTGCTCCCTTCTTGTCCCTGCAGGGATTCTGGGAGTTGGAGTCCACCGATTGCTGGGGGGGGGGGGTGCGTCTTAAGTCTCCCTTATTTGCAGGGATTGGGATGGAAAGGGGGGGAAAGGGGGCTTTGACTCCCAAAACTTGACCCTTTCCCACCCACCCACCCCTAAGGCTGACCTTTGACCCCAAGGGGGCTCTGCTGTGGCTTATGGGGTGGGCGGCCCTGTTTTTTTCTCTACCTCCTTTTTTCCGCCTCCGAGAAAAAGAGGCTTTTTCTTCTCCCCTTTGTTGTGGTTGACTTCCCTAGGCCACTGCGATGCAAAACAAGTGAATGGGGGGAGGAGCCAATATGCTAATTTGTTGTTGTTGTTGTGTATTTGGAGTACAAGAAATGTGAACTGCTAAAACCTGTTTTGCTGTCTCCCAAACTTTTCCCTAAGGCAAGCCAATTATTTCCCCAGGGCTGGGGATCTGTATGCCGCAAGCGTAGTATGAGTTTTATCAAAATTTAAAGAGTCCTCTCGTTTTTGGGGTGTTTTTTTTTTTAAAATCAAATGCTCCCCTTCCCTAAAATGGAGCCCTGTTGGTTTCAAGTCCACTTCACTTTGGGATTGTGAATTGTGGCGGAAAGGTTATTATTTCCTGCGACGAGACATGGGATGCTGGAGTCACCGATGTAATATTGACGTGAAATCATCGCGAAGTATGGGAAACGCATCGTGTAAACCTGCTTTTGTTAAAACGCTTCCTGGTTTTTCCTTATTGGGAATAGAGGATATGGATCTGATTCAGCCTTCCCCAATTTGGGACCCACCAGCTAATTTCCCCACTTTGAAATATAGATTTATAGAGTTGGAAGGGACCTTGGAGGTCTTCTAGTCCAACCCCGACTCAGGCAGGAGATTCTACACCATTCAGACAAATGGCTGTCCAATTTCTTCTTAAAAACCTCCAGTGTTGGAGCATCCACCACTTCTGAAGGCAAGTTCTTCCACTGATTAATTGATCTCACTGTTAGGAAATTACTTCTTAGTTCTAGGTTGCTTCTCTCTTGATTAGTTTCCATCCATTGCTTCTTGTTTTGCCTTTAGGTGCTTTGGAGAATAAATTGACCCCCTCTTCTTTGTGAGAGTCCCTTAAATATTGAGACTCTGCTATCATGTCACCCCAAGTCCTTCTTTTAATTAAAGTAGACATTCCCATATCTTGGTCGGTAGCAGCATGAGTTACAGCATGTTACAGAATTAACCCAGCACTGTCATTCTGCAAGAACATAGGAGCATGCCTTCTCTGTTGTGGCACTAGCCTCTGGAAATGACATTTCGTCAAATATTCATAAAGTTTCCATCCTAATGATGATCACAAAACCATTCTTTAAAAAATCCATTGTCCTCTTAGGCTTTGCTGTCGGTTGATTGCCCAGTCTCTGTGCTTTGAGGTTTGGAGTTTTTATTGGTTGTGAGTCATCGTTTGGTTGGTTATGATCTTTCTTTTTCTGTCTGTGTTGTTTTTCTGCTATTAATTACAATCCACCCAGGATTCTTAGGTTTAAATGACTCTTGGCTGGGAATGCAAAGAATTCCCAGTGCTGCATTAAAAAAAGGTTTGCTTTTATACACAGTTGGTGTTTGTTTAATTTGAACAAGGCTTGGGTCAGAACACCCAGGTTGTAGACCCCTGCTGTAGAAGATGCTAGAAGCCTCTGCTAGTGAAATGGCCAAATTAATGCCAAATAAAATCATGGGTGCGAATGCAGATAATGTTTGCCGCAATCAACATTTCTGGCAATAGGAAGGGATGGCCGTGTGGTCACACAATTTATCAACATGTTGCCGGGAGCCTCGTTCAATATTGTGGCCTAATGTCTATGAAAACATAATCAAGCCAAACTAAAACCACACATTTGCTATTGTGGCATGGTAACGTTGCTTTCTCGCTTGTGTGTTGTTCCGTGGTTGCTGAGAAACTGTAGTCAAAGGTGGAATTGTTAGTCAATAATGACAAACCTGATTTCCTTTTTTACGCCCACTTATGTTTTCCGGTCTTGAACTCCGAAGGAGGATGACAATTGCTTGCTTTGAATAGGACAGAAAGATGCGTGGGGTCCGTTTGGCTATTGAACTCTTTAGCATGTCTTTCAACTGATTCCGGGCTGCTTCCGTTGCTTCTTCAGTTCCACAGAGGAGCAGCAATGGATTAGCCCAGCTTCTAAATCTAGCCGACTAGGTTGTCGCAATTTTTCTCGCCGGTCATTTAAATTTATCAGCTGCTGATAAGGTGAATTGGTCACTTATGGTAAGGATGCAGCTGTTCTTCACCAAAATCAGTCGGCAGACCGGACAGGGATGGGGCAAAAACAGTCCACTAAAAGTTCATCTTGTTCCATCAGCGATTATGTGAATTTTTCTATGCAAGTTAGCCTAATTTTCAGTTTAGTTGGCCACATGACCATGGAAAATGTCTTTGGACAACAGTGACTCCTCTGGCCAAGAAACCCCCAGCACCTTGGTCTGGAGTTGGACATGTGTAACGACCGTCATTGCTAACTGAGCAAGTGTAGTGATTCCCTTCCCAAACACAGGAAGAGAGGCCATAAAACGGGGCAAAACTTTTGTCTTGCTTGAGCACCAGGAATTCTGGGTTCCGTCTGCGGTCGTAAGTCAAGGGCCAGCTCCAGTTTGTAAGTCACGGTGGATCGTTTTAAGTCGAGTTCTGCTGAACTGTTTGGCCAACTACTAGTCGGCAACCTGCACCTCTGGAGCCACATGCAGCTCTTTGGGCCCTCTGTTGCGGCTCCCTGTTGGGTGATCCCACCACTGGCTGGCCCCGCCCCTCACCCTCCCCTCCCCTCCCAGTCACTCCTCACCTGGCACGAGAAGGTAAAACACAAAAAAAAACAGAAATGGGAAGAAGGGGGGGAGGGAGGGAGAGAGAGCGCCATTTCCCACAGAAAACACCGGGAGCCAAAAAAAACCTGGGTAGACGTGGCGGGGTGGTGTGTGTCATGTGACTGGGTGGGAGTGACGTTGACTTGGCCACGCCCACTCTAGTTTTGTGGCTTCCGGTGTTTTCTGTGGGAAACGGGTCCAAATGGCTCTTGGAGTGTTGTAACGTTGCCGACCCCTGTACTAGATCGCCCATCTTTTATTTTATTAATCAGACATCACGCATTAAACATGGCGCAGCATAACCTCCGAAGCCGGTCCGTGTCAAAAATCGTAAAAGCTGTGATTCCAAAAAAAAAAAAAAAAAAAGGAAGAGTGACAGGCTTCAAGCGCAGCCAAATCGAAAACAAGAGGCTGCCTATAAAAAAATTAAAAACCAAACCAAACCAACCTTCTCCCATCCTGTTCGGAGCAATATTGAAATGAAGAATGGCCTCACTTTGTCATCTGTTCCAATTGATGTTCCACTCTTTCGCTTTGACAGCTGAAAAGGCCCACAGGTGCCATATAAAGAGGTGACCACGTTGTCATATTTCATTTAGGCGTCCCTCTGCAAAGGCATAATTACCTAATTAGGTTGTTAATTAGGAGATTAGCATTTCGCTCTATTGATAGAATGCTCTTTGCAGGCAGGAGTCGAGAAAACAGATTTGTTGGTCTAATTTATAAGTTGGGGGGGGTTTCTTCTTCCCTTCCTCCCCCAGACCCAATACTGATTTGCTTAAAATATTCGGGGAGAAAAATTCTGCGTTCTCGGAGGTGGGAAAGCTTTTTTTCTGGAGACCCCGCCGTTTAGACATGTCAGCCATGGCTAAGCGGGTTGGCCTTCTCCAGTTGTCCACCTGGAAGACACCCAGGTTGGAGAAGAAGAATAGCGATGATTTGCTAGGATTTCTTTCATAAAAATCTCTCTTCCTCCTCTTCTCCTCCTCCTCCACCTCCTCCTCTTCCTCCTCCTCCTCCTTTCCTTTTTCTCCTCCTCCTCCTCTTCTCCTTTCCTTCTCCTGCTCCTCCTCTTCTTTCCTTCTCCTCCTTCCTACTCTCCTTTCCTCCTCCTCCTCCTTTTTCTCCTCTTCTGCTCCTCCTCTTCTTCTTTCCTTCTCTTCCTCCTCCTCCTCCTTTTGTCTTCCTCCTCTTCTCCTTTCCTTCTCCTGCTCCTCCTCTTTCCTTCTCCTCCTCCTTCCTACTCTCCTTTCCTCCTCCTCCTCTTCTCCTTTTCTCCTCTTTTCCTTCTCCTGCTCCTCCTCTTCTTTCCTTCTCTTCCTCCTCCTCCTCCTCCTCTCCTTTCGTCTTCCTCCTCTTTGTCCTCCTCTTCTTTTCCTCCTCCTCCTTTCCTCCTCCTCCTCTTCTTCTTTCCTCTTCTTCCTCCTCTTCTTCCTCCTGCCCCTCCTCCTCTTCTTCCTTCTTTCTCCTCCTCCTCCTGTTGTGTCCACCTCCAAGCATTCCTGCTTAATTTACAAATCTGTTTTCCAGTCTTGATTTTTTTTTCAGTTAGCCCTGAAAGGAGCCAACCTTTCTCCTCCCATCCGTTGTCTCTCTTCTTGTGTCAGGTACCTGGGAATTGACACATGGCGAAGAGCATGGTGTCAATAGCAGAGATTGAAGAAACCTTGATTTGGAAACAATGCAATCCTGCCATGAACAGGAGATATATTTTTTCTTCTTTTTTTAAATTATTTTTTTTACTATCCTCCACTCTAGTGACTGCAGGAAGCTGAAACTGACAAACTGTAGATGTGTTCTTGCAAAACAAAAACAAAAAAATCCTGTGATATATTTCCTCCCCTTCTTTGCTAACATCACACATTCCTCTAAAGCCGTTATCTGTGGGAAGGGGGGAAAAATATCATTATTATTTTTTCCTGTAAGATGCACCGAAACTCCATGCTTTATTAATGATTTGGGAGACACAGCTCACTTAACGGTCGTCATTTTTCAACGGCTTTTTGAACCCACGGAACCAGGGGGCTGTCATTTGGAGAGAACGTAAGGAAAACAGAGTATTAGGGAGGGAAAACCAAAATTTGGGTTAATGTCAGCATTCTAACTAACCAATTCCAACCCAATGCACTCCGAGACCAGCATTTCCTCAAAGGTCCGTTTTATTAGAGTTGACATATTGGCACATCTGGGAAACCCTGGAGAGTTTCGGATTTTCCCCTTCCCAAAAGAGAAACCAAGAATCCGTCCCTTGCGTCCATCACTCCATCACATGGCCCAATCAAATCTTCAACGTCCCAACTGGAGCCATCCTTCCAGCCACTCCTCTCCAAGTGCAGGGCAACATTCCTTGTTTTTCCAAGTATTGTGCAAATACAATTCTCGCTGCCGTCAAAACCTGTAATATTAAATATATCTTTTTTTTAAAAAAATCGTATTTTTCTGGTACTATGCCTAACAAAAAATATTTCTGGCTTTAAATCTATGTGTTGCTTTTATCCTTTTCTCCAACCCATGTATGTATTTTCATCCAAATTTTTCTTGCCTTTTCTTTATTCTTTTTTTTTTTGACATCGGTCCAAACAAACCCATTTATTTCCAAAAAACTAAAACAAAAAACAAAAACCAGACAGTCTTGAGTTCTTCTTCCTGCTTTTCTGCCGTTATTTTGCCCACCGTATCGGTAGCCACAGATCCTGACACGGGAATAGTATATTTACAAATGGTAACCCCTCTCCCACTGCCGTTTGCCCTTTGACTAACGTGCAAGTTGAAAAAGTGCCAGTTGTGAGGAGGTGCCAGAAAGGTGCCCGCATCCTTTCCAAGGTTCCCACCCAGGCCGTAAACAGTGTGAATTTGGGGTTCAGTGCACAGGAAGATGGAAATAAATATATAAATGGGCCTTTGCACCTGCTGTTAGCCTGTTGTTTAACTCCCTCGTCAGACATTAAATCATTTTCAAGCACAATAATAGCATGGGAGGTAAATTAACTAACCATTAACAATCTTATAAATACACAATTAACATGCCAGCGTTTATACGACGGAGGCGTGGATCGGGCAGCAGTAATTTTTGACTGGGAGTTAGCTTCTCCGGGTCTTTGAGGTGCTTCAAGCGGTTAATAATAATAATAATAATAATAATAATAATAATAATAATAATAATAATAAAGATACCTATGATGATGGCAGCAACCCGTATCAACTATCAGAGCCAGTCGATATTTATGATGAATTTTTGAATGTTCAGTTGACTGAGTTTCATGTAATTAATAATATTATTATTATTATTATTATTAATAATAATAATAATAATAATATATGAAGAGCAGTCCTCGGTAATCAGCTCTCGTTGCCTAAATCATATTATGGATACCTTGTTGACAGAAAAGAACGTTTGTAGTTTTTGGGTTGAGCTGTGGGCTTCTCGGTGTTCTTTGAGGTTGGTGGTTTTCTTTACGGCGGCTCCGTTAGTCACAGGGCTGTTGAGGGAATCTGGCTCCCCGATTGAGTTGGCTTGTCAGAAGGCCGCAAACGCAGAAGGACCGAGTTGGAAGGGACCTTGGAGGACACCTAGTCAAACCCCCCTCCCCCAAGCAGGCGACCAAAGCCGATCACACGACCCCGCAACCGTCATAAATGCACGTTGCCAGTTGCCAAGCCTGTGAATTTTGATCACGCGCTGGTCGTAAGCGTGAAAAACGATCCTAAGTCACCTTTTTTCCAGTGCCATTGTAAGTTCGAATGAACGGTCACTAAACGGTCACTGTTGTAAGTCAAGGGCCACCCCACTTGGCACCCTTTCCTAAGCTTGTCCTCTTCTGTCCTTTGGTCCCGCAGGTAACGAAGACATTGGTTCAGCATGGATCGGAGGAGATAGTAGGGGAAGGCGTCAGAGCGTGGCTCAGGATGGCTTTCTTGGATAACCCAGCCATTATCCTGGCTCACATCCGGCAGTCGCATGTGACCAGCGATGACACGGGGATGTGTGAAATGGTCCTCATCGACCATGACGTTGACCTGGAAAGATTCCACCCGGCTTCGGCCAACGGGGCCGAAAGCTCGGAAGGACCAAGCAGCAACGGCGAACCTCAGGGTTACGTGTACTCTCAGTCCGTGGACATTACCTCAAGCTGGGACTTCGGCATTCGAAGGCGCTCAAATACAGGTGAGTCCCTCAGGGAGCATCTTGGGAGCCCTTCGAAGGAGGAGATGTAGGATAGGATAGAGAATGGAATGGAATGGAATGGAATTCAGAACGATAGAGTCGAGTCGAGTGGAGTGGAGTGGAGTGGAATTCAATTCTTGATTGGCCAAGTGTGATTGGACACACAAGGAATTTGTCTTGGTGCAAATGATCTCATTGTACATAAAAGAAAAGATATATCCATCAAGAGTCAAGAATCACAAGGTACAACACTTAATAATAGTCATAGAGAAAGAAAGGAAAGAAAAAAAGGAAGGAAGGGAGGGAGGGAGGGAGGAGGAGAGAGAGAAAGAAAGAAAGAAAGAAAAAGAAGAAAGAAAGAAAGAAAGAAGAGAGAGAGAGAGAAAGAAAGAAAGAGAAAGAAAGAAAGAAAGAAAGAAAGAAAGAAAGAAAGAAAGAAAGAAAGAAAGAAAGAAAGAAAGAAAGAAAGTACCCTGGTCAACTCCAGACATCCCTGGTTAAAGGAATTGAGTAACAAAGGGGGTGCAATTTCCCCCCCCCCCCCGTTTGAAACAAACAAACAAACAAACACCTATTCCCTTATTTGTTTTGGGTGGAGCTAAATAAAACAGACTATTGGGGGGGGGGGGAATAACTAAATTAGGGGTCTGTCTACATGGAGATTCTCAGTCATGCATCAGTTTGGCTAAAAAAAAAATCCAAGTTTTGACGTGTCATTTTCTAGGAGATTTTTCTTTAAAAACAAAAAAAAACAAAAACCAGTCCTAACCAGTTTATCCAATTGTTCCTCTTCTTTGTCTCCCGGGGGTGGGGGGGTGGGTGAGAAAGAAAATAATCTGACATTTAAAACATAAAGAGAATTCCAAGTGGCAGCGGAGATATCCGTCTCCTGATTACTGATATTTCACCTATTTGAGCGTGGACTGTTTTTGGATGTGGAGTCGAAAATATGTAAAGAGGAAAAATGATATTCATTTTTTAAGATTTGACTAATGTTGCACAGATACAAATCATTTATTTTTACTACCTATAAACTGTTCCAAGCACAGGGAAGGAAAAGCTATGCTAATTTATATAGCGTTGACATTTTATAATTTTCATGATTTTTTTTTTTAGATAAAAGATTTTATATTTAAAACTTTAATAGTCTAGTCTGAGTTCATTTATCTTTAATTTTTGAAACGGGGAGAGTAATTCATAACAGTAATTTTATTCCTGTAATGTAATATTCACTTCAGTTCATTTGTGCATTAAAATTCCTTTAAGACCGTTATTAATGATTTATATAATGAAATGTCATATTAATCACAGAAGTTTTCACATTTTATTATTCTCTTCCATGTTAATACTATCTTTATGATCTCTATTAATGTTTTATATCCTCTAATTTCAATTATAAATCAAGAACATTTTCATGTTTTTGTTGGTATTTGCTTTTCAGAGATGCCACCTTTAAAATTTTATTGCATGCACCCCCAACCATAGATGTGCAGCATAAAACATCTTTATTCATAGAAAGGTAGTTAATTATGTCTTTTGTTCATAGCAAACTTTCGTTGACAAACTTAAACATTATAATATATATATTTCCCCCCCTTTTTCTAAGCTCAGAGACTTGAACGGCTAAGGAAAGAGAGGCAGAATCAAATCAAATGCAAAAACGTGCAGTGGAAAGAGAGAAATGCCACCTGTTCTGGTAAATATATATATATATATATATATATATTATTTTATTCATTATTTGTTTCCAGGCCGGTTTCGTGCATAAAACCTGGTTAGTTTGTAAATCGTTGCATGATAAAGGATGAGAACAATTTGGGGGAAAAGACAAGTAACGTCGGAGAAAATTCCTGTAAAGAATTCGCCGAAAACATGAGCTGTCCATCCATCCATGCGTGCTGCCCATCTGGACTTCCACATCCATCATCCCTAGCCAGAAAGTCTCATGAGCAGGCAGGATGGTGGGACTTGTAGTCCAACACTCGTGTTTAGCCACAGGTGGTCAGAGGTGGAATTTTTGGGCGGAGGCCTCCTCTTTGTTTTTTGTCCTGATGGATCCAAGTAAGATCCATCTTTGGGAACAGAATCGGTTTTAGAGATTGCCAGGGGCGCTGTTCCATTTCGGACCCCTGTAAAGGGAATTATCTCAAGCTTTGGAACCGCTTCTGTGGTCCCGAGCTGCACTCTTGCTGCCGCATCCGAGCTGCTAATCTGAAGCAGATTAATTTTGTCCTCTTTCTTCAAGAACAGCAAAAGTGGGGTGGCTTCCGTTGTGCGCCTTAGTTCGCAACACACAGACCCTTGTTTTATTTATTAGGCTGCTGTTCCTCTGAGGGGCACAAAGCAGGACTGGTGGGAGATATTCCATTTTTATTCCAAGAAGCTGTGAGCTTGTAACCTAAGGGAGAGATCTGGGTCACTTTTCATCGCTTTAAAGTGTATCCGTTCGGCGAATACACAGCCAGATTCCTTGCAGATCCGCTGAGCCATTCGAGAATTGGCCTTCGCAGCTGACTCCTTTCAGTCTTCACAGCAAATCTTCTCCATTTTCTCCTTGTTTACACATAACAGTACATGGAAATAACTAGTTCACTATTTAGGAACTGCACCCTGTTGCATTTTGCTCCTCTGCATTATCAATATCTACGTTTTGGGAAGTGCTCTGCTCAAATTCTGAACGAAGAAGCTTGAAAACCCTCCCCATAGCAAATGGCAAATCAAACCACTGGTACGTCAACAGAGCAAAACCCCTCACTCTCTTCCAGCACTGATGATGTTCCCTAGTCAGGTGACGAAACGTCTGCAAGAAAACAACCAAACGCAGAGAGCGTTAATGACCCCCAAATCAAGCCAAACCTTCTGATCTTTGGTGCCCTATCACAGTTTCCCCAGATCATCCCATCACTGCCCAACAATGAATCAAGGGAAGCTGCCTCATTCAGCAGAAAAGAATTTGGGAGATGGAATCAGCATCTGTGCCAGCCACACAAACCATGAGCCCAGGATCTTGCCATCTTTTTCCCAAAGAGCAAAAATTGCCTGTTCAAATGAGCTAAAGCAAACCAGACCGATGAAACTCAACGGAATAACCGTGTCTCAAGTTCATCGTTAGATGTGAATTTCTTTTCTGGCGTTTTTTTCCTTCTCCAGATTGCAGATTGGTCTCTTCAAATTAGATAAAAGGCTGTGACATACTTGGTGTTAGTGACGATCGTGACCGTTGAATCTCTTCTCTTCTGAGTTAAACTCGGCTCGGTTTAGTTATCTCAGGGTCTCCTCTTTTTGCAATGGTGACCCACCTGCACCTCTTCCATCTCAATATTTTGGCTCGAGCTGTCATCTCCGTGAAGCCGGCTCCAGTTTGACAAGCTTTAATTCCGCCATTTAACAAATGAGTCCCCCCCACCCCCCGCCCACCAGTTTTGGAAGTCCCCGCTCAATCTGCCCGAGCCTCCGTTCCAATCCTCGAGAGAGACGAGCATGTAAATCTATGGGACGTCTACAGATCCAGGAGTAAGCAAGATTGGTAGCTTGGAAGCGGATCTGTCAAAGGGTGATGGATTGAGCTTGGGGGGAACCTCGTTCCTGGAGCAGATGTGTGGTGAACTCCCCCCTCCAATTCCACATTGGCTGAACAGAGAAGAAACCAATGGCAATCGGCAACAGCTCCACAAGTCTTGACAACTAAGCTCACCTGTCTTCACCTTTTAAAATAAAGACACCCTTGAACTTTCTGGCTCATCCTGAACATCTGACAAAGTTGCCCCCCCACCCCCAGTTCCTAGGTTGTGTTGATGCTCAAATATACCAAAGCTCCCCATCTTCTCTTGATGGGATGGTTAGCTTCCACTTTCACGAGGTCCCTTCCTATCCCATTAGAAACTCCCAATTTTGGAAGCTCTCACCAAGCCACAAACATCCACGGGCTTCCAGTGGTACCCTTCAAGGTTCAACTACATATTTGCAACGCTCAGTGTAAGAGTTTCCCACATCCCTCTCAACCCCCATGGCAACTGAGTTGAACTGAATACTTTTATTTGGCCAGGTGTGAGTAGACACACAAGGGGTTTGTCTCTGGCACAGAAGCTCCCAGGGTTGTCCCGTTGGCCATTGACTCATAAAAGTGTGTGTAACGTGGAGTAGCTGCTTAGGGCTTGGATAACTGACCAGGGACAGGGTCCACGTTACCTAAAGGTCAAGGTAAAAGTTCTCCTCGCACGTAGGTCATTTCCGTCTCTACGGGGTGGTGCTCGTCTCCATTCCAAAGCCGAAGAGCCAGCGCTGTCCAAAAACGTCTCTGACTAAACGCCTTTGAAGGCGCACGGAATGCAGTTCCCTTCCCACCAAAGTGGTCCCTATTTTTCCACTTGCATTTTTTTTTTTACATGCTTTCGAACTGCTAGGTTGAGAGAAGCTGGGAACAAGGCACAGGAGCTCCCTCTGTTACGTGGCGCTAGGGATTCGAACTGCTGACCTTTCTGATTGAGAAGCTCAGCGTCTTAGCCACTGAGCCACCACGTCCCTTATTGTTACCTTAACTGTAGCTAAATTCCAGTTCCCCATAGACCAGCTTTTCCATTGGAGGTTTCAGTCTTGGAGGGAGCATCCAGCAGATATTGTAATCTCAAAGGTGCTTTTTCCAAAGGCAACTGGGCGACGTTTTTTTCCTTGAGGAAGGCGCTTTGCTTCTTATCCAAGAAGCTTCTTCCCTTCTGACTTCTTGACTTTGCATCCAAGGAGCTCCTTGGATGAGAAGCAAAACGTCTTCCCAAAGGAACAACAAAGTCCCAGTTGCCTTTTTGAAAAAGCACCTTTGAGGCCACCACGGCCGAGAATCTCCGCGGCCATTCAGATGTCGCAATGTCCCTCTCTTTTCTTTGAACCCCAGCCGAAGAGCTGAGTCACCTCTTTGAGAAGAAGAACTTCAAGGTGAAGCCTGCCCATGCTCCCGTGAAGCCATCCATCCTCTCGGTCCGACTGGAACAGTGTCCTCTGCAGCTGAACAACCCCTTCAACGAATACTCCAAGTTTGACGGCAAGGTAAGCGAGAGCGACCCGCTGCTCCGCGTTCCTTTTTCACGGTTGCTTTGGGGTCTCCCGAAATCAAACGATCCAATCCAAGCACAGCTCGGACGAAGGAGGCTGAAACGGGGGTTGGATTCCTGAAAGGAACATCTTGACTTTTAAGGGGTTTGATGCCAACAGTGTTGACAGCCCACCAAACCTACCCTGTTTCCCCGAAAATAGGACCTACCCTGAAAGTAAGTCCTAGCTTGGTTTTTACACGTTCTCGCCCAATATAAGCCCTACGCCCCGCCCCCCCAAATAAGCCCTAATTAAGATTTCTTCAAGGTTGGCAAGGCTTTCCTAAAGGCCTCTGGAGCTAAGAACAAAGCTCTAGATCCGATAAAATATCGCTTGTGACAATTAAGCAAGCTGGTAGGCCTGATTGACACATGCCAGCGCGATGGGTCCCTAAAGAGGTATTTTTATCACTGCGTTTTGGACAGTTTGAGGTGGTTGCTTTTTTTTTTTTTTTTTTTTTTTTCCCCCAGCTTTTTTTCAAAAGCGGCACTCCTCCCCCCCCCCCCCAAAAAAAAAATTCAGCGGAGGATCAACTTAACTACCGCCAGCTCGCTTTCTCGAGTTTCAATCGCTCGCTCTGCCTTTCTTCCCCATCCAAATAAACATTTTAGTGAGCCTGTCGAGAGATGGAATGTTCCCCGGATTGTTCAAACTTTATTCTTTAAAAAAAGAGAAGAAGAAGAAAAAAAAAGAAAAGAAAATCAAAGCCGGTGTTCCCACTTTGAAAAAAAAAAAAAGATTTTCAAGAGTCACCCCAGCCTCTGGAGTAAATATATAATTAAGGAGGGACATTTTTTTTTATTTTACAAAAAGCATGCTTAATTAGGCCCCCAAACTCCCCCCCTACCCCTCCCATAATAAACTTCCCCATCTCTTCCCAATTAGGCATTCCTTCCTCAAGAGACCCAACTGGTTGAGTTAATTATGCAAATCAGGCACGTTTTTCTAATCCCAGGCGAAGAATTTATGAATGTTTGCAAAAAAAAAAAAACACACACACACACACACGCACACACACACACACAAACAACAACCCTGCAACTCTACCTGCATAAAAAAGGAATTCAAATTGTTGTATTTGAAACCTGGAAAAAAAAAAGCTTAGAAGAGGGAAAGATTTGTTTAAAAAATTATTGATTTTTTTTTATGTCAACATAAGAACCTCTCTGCATGGTTCCTGTGATTTTTAATCACGTGAATTCAAATTGAAAGCAGGGCAGATTTAGTGACGGGATTTGTGTGTGTGTGTGTGTGTGTTTGTGTGTGTGTTGCTGAATTAACCTTTCTCAGCCATTCCAGAGAGCACAGTGGCCTGTGCTAAAAAAGTATGCTGGGTTTAGTATTCCAACATCTCCAAAAGATTTTGGGTGCTCAGCAATGCTTAATGGATCGCGCGACGGCTATTGTTACCTTATTATCCTAAATTGTCCCAAAGGCAAAAAACAGACTTTGTTTTTCCTCGAAGACGTTTTGCTTTTCACCCAAGAAGCTTCTTCAGTTCTTCGTTTTCAAGGGAAAAAAAAAAAAAGCACCTTCGTGTGTGTTGCACCTTTGGGACAACCTGGATGACTTGAGAATCTTCATAGACCCTTATCCTGAATTAATGGCTCCTTTCCTGTCCATATCGGTCCATCCATGCAAAGTTTCTAGGACTTGCTCAAGGTGGTGAAAGCAATAGATCATCAAACATCCCGAAGCTTTTGAACTGGGGGAAAAAATGATTGTGGTTTGTTTGTTTTTTAAATAAACCTCTGCCTTGCACTTCTGAAAAATGCAGCAAAAATAAAAAATAAAAAACTTCCCTGCCATAATTTGATAACATATTTCAGCTCTTTGGGGATGAGCCCATCGAATTTGAGGCTAAGAGGAGCTCAGGAAGGTGTCCAAGATCCTGGCCCCCTGTCTGAAAAAAAACACCCAACAACAATTTCTTTGTTAGCAACTGTTTTTTAGCAAGGAGGCAGGGGGGGAAAGGATAATTCATGAGTACTAATTGCCCGGCTGTTAATTTTCATAAGTGTTGATAGAAGCAGTTCCTTAAATTAAACTTTGTTTAAAACGTACCAAGGGAAATATTCAGCAATGTCGGGCCTGAAATGAAAATTAATATGAATGCTGTGGCAATTAACACGTACTGGTTAATAGCTTTTAGCAGCATTTTGGGAGGGTAGACCTTAAATACATTTTTCGCATGCTGCTCTTGTACCAGTTGTGTTCCACATTTACGTCTGGATAATTATGAACAAATGTTTTGGTGTGGTTTCCCCCCCCCACACACACACACAAAATCGTTGGGTACTAAATAGCTTTCCCAAAAAGAAACACACACACACACACACACATCCACAGCAGATAAAAGATGGAGAAAGGAAATAGACTGTGGTGTCGCTGATTAAAAATATGTCTGAGATAATGGTTTGATATTAAAAAATCAGGCATACACAAATTAGAGGTTTTAATTTCCATTTTCCATAATGAATTATTTCTAGCCTGAACAGGTGTATCCAAATTAAACTTCTGCATCATTTCTTAAGTGCTTTTTTTTTCTTTAAAAAGAAACTGTAAAAACTGTATACTCCCAATTAAATGCATCAAAATTGAGTCTTGGTTTTTTTGAAATGCCTTTAAAAAGAGAGAGAGAATTGTTTTTTTTAGCTTTTTTTCCCCACTTGTTCACTCTCAAAATACATGTAATTTATGTTGTTCTTGCACATTCAAGCATGCATATTTTCCTCTTGCACCTATTTAGGTGCTAAGGGGAGATTACACTGTCTTAAAACAAGGTGAAAATGAGCAAAGTATTAAAAATTAGAAACGAAAACAGCAGCCTGACTGAACCTCTTTCAAATTCTTTAAAATCTGTAAAAAGACATTGCATTGCCCATATTACTGGATCATCCAGCAATAGGTTTTTGTCTGAAAAAAAAACACTTAAGTGTAGCCTTGATCAGTGTATTCCTATTCTGAATTTTCCATTTTGAGACTTCACATTAAGCTGCAGACCTCAGGATCAAAGCTCCTGATTGAACAGTGGGATTATTTTCTTCCACCATCCAGATCTCCTGTTCTATTATCACCTGACCTCTGGAAAGATTCCCTAAAGCCGGAATTCTTAACATTTTCATTCCCTGGGCCTCCTCAGTGAGTGTTGGGCAAAACCTTTTCCAGAATAGAGTATTAAAATCCCCAAAGTAAAATACAAGAATATGAAGGAATATCGGCAAAAAAAGACAAATTGTACTCTGAAACAGATAGCAAAATATTTAAAAAGAGCATATATGCAATACATTAATTAATATAGCTGATTCCTTACTAATCCATTAAATATATTGCAAGGCAAGCTAAATTTCAGGTGGAGGTTAGTGAAAATAAAATTAGAATACTCCCCCCCCATCCAAATTTACAGATGCCCTGAAACCTATCACAGCTGCTGTGGGGCTGCTATTTTGTGCCATTTTGTCACGCTTTGCTATTGGCATTTTTGCTGGATCAGCACCACGACAGACAGACAGACAGACAACGATAAAGGGGAATATTGATATAGAGCAGCTTCCTAACTTACACGATGCTCTTTGAATATCTAGTGATAGGAGTCTCCTTCCTGTTGAATCCTAGATAGGATGTTTGCTGCCTTGAATTAGTTGTTTATAAACAATGAAGGGGGGGGGATGTAATAAATAAATAGTTTAAATTAGATACCATTTTCTCTTCAACTCAGTTGGTTTTATACAATTGGGGTTGATAAAATAACAAACAAACCCTTATTGTGCAGCTTAGAGGAGGCCACGTGAGATTTTGTGTATGTATGTATGTGTGTATATATATATATACATATATACGTGTATATGTGTGATACATACATACAATGTATGTATGTGTGTGTGTGTGTATGTAAACAAAATCCAAGCAATGCAGCTTTTTAATCCATACAGCGGGGGGAAAAACTAGTTATCTTCAGAAATCTGTGGAGTTTGCCACATGTGTATTTGGGCCACAGTGGGATCAATTATACGAAGAGAAGAAAAGTTGCAAACCTGGGCTTTAGTGCGCAGCCACTCATTGATTTTTAAATACAGTGAGTCCAGCGGAGAGCTAATTAAAATATTTCTGGCTGCAGACTGTTACTTAAGCTCTCTCGCCCACGGGGAGCTTGCTGTAAATCAGCAGGGCTGTTTTGTGACTTAGTTGACTGTACAGGACGTCGTCTGCGCACATTGTACAGCTGTAGGTAGAGGACAGTGGTTCCACCTCATGTTGGGTTAGAATATTGGCAGGGCAGAATTGAAACACGCCCGGGTTGGACACGAACAGAGAACGTCAGATTTGGAAGGGACCTCGGAGGTCTTCTAGTCGAATCCCCTCCTCAAGCTGGGGACCTTCTACCATTCCAGACAAGTGGCTGTCCAATCTTTTCTTGAAAGCCTCCACTGATAAACAACTTCTGGAGGTGAGTCATCCCACTGGTTGATTGTTCTCCCTGTTAGGAAATTTCGCCTTAGTTCTAAGGTTGGTTCTCCGGTGTGTACGCTGAAACAAACTATGGTTTATTGCAACCCATCAAGTAGACATTTTTTTTTCTACTCTGCACTTGGCTTCTCTGTTGTTTCTTTTACTGCCAGTATGGCTCTCTGGCTGCACAGATATCTCTGATATATAAATTGCCAGGGGGATCTTGGGCCGGAGACGTTGGACCTACACACGTCTTCCTGCTCCAACTGTTCCCGCTGAATTTCAAAGCCAGCTCGATGAAGGTCATGTTCAAATTTCTGTTAAAAAACATCCAATTGTCTCAGTTTTTTAAAAAAAATTTCTTACCTTCTTACACCCTCAACCCCACCCCCCAAAAACAACAGTGAGGTGCAAAGCGTGTTACCCTTCCGGTTTCAGCCAAGGATCCCTTGGTTGAGCGTTTAGCTGCAATTCTTTTTAATTGTCCTTACGAAGTTAAAAAATAT